TTATCTCTCCTTTTGCCCTGGGCTAATCACATTTCCTATACCCTCGTATCAAGCATTCACTATGACAATTTTTCCTTGCTTCTCTAAATGTAGTGTGGTGTGCCCCTTTCAGCGGCTTTCATGAAAACCCTCCACACTCCACGCTGGCGTTCTCACCACCATTCACCCTTGTGCTGGGAATGTTGATCAGAGTCGGCCATATTGTTACGCAGTCCTCTTTCCCTAAATTTCATCAGAGTCTCTTTCTTGCCCAGTAGGATCCATCCTCTATCTCCCTTGTTCAGGTATTTCACTTTAACTGGCGTTACAAACCCACTTCTTTCAGACTGTCGGCATGGGAATAACTTTTCGTCCCATCATCACAACTCCTCACTTTGTCCACTTTCCCTCTCCTCTTGTTGTGAGACTGCCTGCTTTGATTAGGTTCAATGTTAAACCACAACATTTATGGGTTGGCACACAAGAGACTTGGGGTCTTTAGCCTCAAGTTAGTCTAGCAGACGCCGAGTGTGGGAAATAACGCCTCTGGGAGTACAGATGAGGTGGCAGGGGTCGAGTGAAATTCTTGGATCAGGAGAGCAGACGGATCCTACAGGGCAAGAGGGATACTCTGATAAGACCTAAGGAGGGAGGATTGCGTAACAATATGGCAGACTCTGATCAACATTCCCAGCACAAGGGTGAAGAGGGGAAGGTTCTCATGAAAGTCGCTCAAAACGACTCACCACACAACATTTAAATAGGCAAAGAAAAAAAATTTTAGTAGTGAAGACGAAACGTATGGGGATGTACCACGTACACGGTCCGACTTTAGGAATAATCATGTATACAATGGACTCCGGACTAGGTGCATTCCCCTAAGTCCTCCTGCCAATATGACCAAGTTGCGAAAAAAAGGTCAAATAACTTCTCTATTCTATTGTATTAACAAGTTCTTTTTTCTGTTTATAACTAGGTTTTCAAGAATGTCTGGTTGTCTACCCTCCTTTTGGCCAGTCTTAAACGTTTCTCTCCCTTCCATCATCGATTTATAAATATCTCATTTCTAATTGTGTCTGCTGTTATCCTAGCCTCGAGGCTGTCACAATCTCGGCCAAAAATGTGTAGGTATTATGCAAACTTGACGGATGAAGGTGAGCAAAGTGGCGATAGACACCGCGAAGCCCGCTGGAGGATCCCGTAGCCCCATGGTGGACGAAACAGAGAGGCATACTTCTTGGCTGATTGACCCGCCCGAGTGATGGACATGTGCCAGACGGAGGCTGATGAGAGTTGGTCTACTGAAGGGAAGGCGGGCAAACTGAAGACAGAGAGAGAAAGGGACCGAGAGAACCAAAGATGGGCTCCTGGCCAGGATTACCGGCCAGTCTGGCTGAGAGAAAGAGACAGCCTACTTTGGAACAGGCGGCCAGTACGAATCTGATTCCAAGATACATCGGTTGCTGCGTTCCTGTTGATACTGAGCTTCGACTAAATTGGGCGGGATTATCAGCGAAAAACGGGAAAGAAGGGTGAAAAGGGAAGGTAGAAATGGAGGCCCGTTTGTGTGTGTTGAAAGAGAAAGATATATATATATATATATATATATATA